GTATAGCTCTTTGAAAAGCGTTAGAAAACAGAATAGTGTGAGTTACAAAAAATTAGAAAAAAGGTAAACTAAATGATTGTCAGGGTTGTTTCTGTAAAGAGAAACAGAAGATCACAATGACGGAAGGTTTTCTAGAATGAAGTCCTTGTCAAATGTAGAATATAAAAAACAAATACTTGAAACATTCATTGCACATGGAAAAGATGAAGCTTTTTCCTGACAAGTGCCATAATCTTCTGCTTTCAGTTAAAAAAAAAAATTGAAAAAAAATCAGCTTTTAAGATCAAATCAACACGAAGACACTTTTCAAAGTATTAACAGACTGTAAACTGATAAAGAGGCCTCTCTTCCTACAGTTTGTACTTCATCTCCATGACTTAAAGAAGTCAAGGGTGGGTGGAGGAGAAAGAGTGGCATTAGAAGACAGTGCCAATTTTATCAAACTCATAAAGGAGGAGCCCAATGACTGGCTGAGTTTTAAGGGTGTTACTTGTTCCTTAACAGCTTTATTCATCAGGGACTCATGGAAACACTTGCATATCTCTACAGAAGATGGAGTTCCTTTGCAGAGCTCAGGGAGAGCACCATGAAAGAATCCTTTACCTCATCCTCAGCCCCAGCAACTGTAATTACAGGACGGGCTTTAACTTTTCACACGTTGTGACACATTTTTTAAGATGTTTAAGTGCCTGAACACACCAACATACAAATGCAGTGTGATTTTCACAACCACTTACTTAATCAACCGATCTAATAGGTGTCTGTGTTCATCTTTACAAACCTAAATACTTGTTTTAACTCTCCCGTCACCTTAGTTTAGTATTTTATACACTCCTCTAAGCCCAACACTGTTCTTCAAGCTCTCTGAGTGTGGGTGTTCCACAGGTGAGCACTTCATTTTATGGAGAATAGAGACAGTGATGGACTAAAGTTAGAAAAAAAAATGCAAACAAAGACCTGAGTATATTCTGAAGATACGGGAAGGAAAAGACAAAAACCAGCAATTAGTAACTGGGAAAGGAGGAGTATTACAAGTGATAGATCTGGTCATTTATGTTTGAAAACAAACAGAAGCAAATGACATGGAATTAACCAGAATACATAACAAACTGCTGTATTCCTTTATGCAGATGATATGTACTGGCAAATTTACCTCAATTTCAGAAGCTCTGAAAAAGTAGATAAATGATGAATTGCTAGTTGGAAAAGGAAATTTTAAGCTCAGAAATGTTTTATGGATATGAAAGCACGGCAACCATGCAGAAGCCACAAACTTTCATTTTTAAGTAGTAAATTCAGTTCCAGCTGTTTCTTTCAGGAAATAGTAGGCTCGGTTTCATACTATAGGTGAACAGAAATGAAAAAAGAAGGTCTGCTAAGGGGAAAGCTCACGCGCCAATGCTATAAATTACACACCGGTAAATGTCTGCTGGGGTTTTGATGTTAGGCAGTTCTGGAGCTGCATGGCCATTGCCATTGCTGTTCTTCCTTTTACGCTTGGCCTCTTCTTTCTTTTCACTGAATTTCAAAGTAGTATTTTTTCCTGTGTTTATTCTTACCTGAAAATTGAACACAAATGATGGTCAAGACCATAAAATCAACAATCACCAGGCTGCAGATCAACTGACTTCTGACATTCTCCTATCCAAGCAGTTGCGGACTACGAAGCATAGGTTAGTTAAACAAATGTATGAATGGTAACATTCATAGTATGAACTGTTTATTTTTTACCACTTGCTCTAGGCTGGGGCATTTCTTTGCACTAAAGTGCATAGATTTTGCATATAATATATGACAATCTGCTTATTCAAACTCTGCTCAACAGCTGAGCTGCTCAACAGTCAATTTCAAGTCAAGTAAAAAGTCATTTTAAAAACTCCTAGACAGGATACTACCTTTTACAACAGCCGGAAGCCAGAACAAGCAAGTATACATTCGAGGATCATTTTTTTAATACCATATTTGAAACTGCAGGATTTAAACAGTGGGTTCCAAGCATTCGAAAAAAATACAAATAAATGTCACCTACAGTTAGCATTCCACATTATCTACATTATCTAAAATTTTCCTTTTTAGATATGGTATATATGTTTTATGCAATCTCTTGAGAGAAAGATAAAAATAATAAAGTACAAACCCTTTTAGGTTCAACAGTGTGAGAGAAAAAAATAGTTGGAACAGAGTTATCTCCAACATCTATGTCATCTTCATCATCACTGTGATAATAAGTAGAGCCATTAATATGGCCACCAAACAAGTCTGAATTTGTTACTTCTTTATGGAAGTTGCCCTGAGTAATACAGTCTTCTGCTCTATACGTCCCATTCAGATCTGTCTTCTTATCTTCTTTCTCCTCTTCAGAGGAGGTTGTATCTTCTCCATTTGTCTCAACTGTATCAGGCATCCTATGAAATGAAAAATATCTAAGTGAACTGAGGCAATTCATACTCTTGAGAGACACAGGCATACAAAATAATGAACAAGCCTGTACATAATTTTCTTTATCCAGGTGCTATATTTTTAGCCAGATTGTGGAACCTTTTTTATACTCTGTAAGAATGACTATGTCCTTTCCATGTCAGCTGGAAATACCAAAACTATGACATTCTGGCTAATAACATATGTATTGCTTTAGGATCAGAATAGATCTAAGGATGTCATTAAACACTAGATGTGTAACTCCTACATTGTAAACGATGGATTTTCCTAGCCTGTAGGAAATGGATTTTACTTCCCCCTTTTCTGTCATCTTAAAGAAAAAATACTGTAATGCTGGACTGCCATGGTTGCGCAGAGGCAGATTTTAGCCCCTTTGGCCTTGCGGTGCACGCTTTGTTCATGTTCCACCCTTCTTCCACCTACTGTAATTTTAACTGCATCAGTCTAGTCAGCTATTTGCACTTACAGTGAGATCCTTTGCGTACAAACAGAATCACACACCTATAGCTTTCTAAACTCCAAACCTGACGGTGCTACAGCAGTACTATACCTGTCAAGTTCACCAAGTATCTCTTCTTGTCTCTCGAGCTCTTCTAAGCGGGCCCACAGTTCCTCCTCGGACTGAAAACGGCCCATTGATTTTGTATCACTTCCATTTGCTGGAAAATCTACCTCAAAAACGTTTGATACTTTTGGCTTTGAATGAGGTTTGTGAGCAGTTCGGTATTTTCCTGCGTAACAAAAAATAAGATGCAATTACTAAAGCAATTGACAATAAACCAACAAAAAACAGTGAGGGGGGGGGGAACCCACAAAGGAATTAAGGAATATGGGCAGAACATTTTCCATTTCAGATTATTGTTTAACTGTTTAAGTGAAACTGTCAATGAACCAGAGCAGCAGCACAGGATAATAGTCTCCGGATGTTACAGAAATACAGGCAAAGCAGAGATGTTTATTTACAAAGCAGGAAACACTGATCCTATGACAGTTTTATTACAATGTGGGTTTTTTTACCTCTTGTGCCAAACAGTAGACTTTGATTTGCTCTGATAGATACCAACATGTGAATGTGACATTTGCTCACCGTCCCATTAATAGCACATTTTATTAACTGGGAAAGCAAACCTAGTTTGTACTTTAGCTCATTTTGGACAAAGTCACCTATATTTAAAGAGCAGAGTCTTTTTGTTTTGGGTTGTATTTTTTCAAATTTACAATGAAGATCACTAAAAATGATCTCCAGAGTCATCTGGAAAATCTGACCAAAATCCAGTCATTATGAATCACTTATTTTGGTGAAAAAAACCCACTCTGAAAAGCACACAAAACCCTGCCTTTCAAAAATAATAAATATAAACCCCTTTAAAGCTTCAGAGGTGACCTGAGATATACACTTGTGAGTAAATGGTAGTCACCGACAAGTTCTTGCTGGCATTTAAAAGCTTTGCTACCTAGTAAAACGGTGCATCCATTGAGGATGGGGAATACTTTTTACTGTTTGAGTGCTGTCTAGCCCATAGGGAACAAACTGCCTGCCAACAATACTAATGCTTTAGCTCTGTCTATGTGAAGGGCAGGACTGCTGCTTTAATCCCCCTTCTCCCCAAGACTGGCAGCTCCCGGGGGCACCGCCTGTTTCTGCATGGTCCCAGGCAGGTTCCCAAAGGAAGTTCCCTGCTCTCTGCCCATCAGCACCCCCCACGCAGCACCTGCACCTCTTTACAGGAGTGAGGACCCTTCCCCTTCCATCACTGCCACAAATACACCCAGCATTTTGTCTGTACAGTGGGACTCCAGTATCTCTACAGGTCTTCATGAAACTCTGCTTTGTGCACCTAATCAACAGTAATACAATGTCTTTGTTATTCAGCATCCTTCAAGTTTTAAAATCTCTTTAACCAATTGTGTGGCCATTTTTTTTAGATTTTAAGAACTCATGGCTTAAAGATACCTTATTCAAGTATGTCAACTTATACTTTAATCCTGAGTTAAATACAAATTCAATAGCAACATTAAAAAGCAAACAGGTGACTGTAAGTAATGTTGGAATGTGTGTCCCGTACTCTTCCACAGGATAGCATTTTTCATCATCTCATTAAGAAAAGGCTGAAATGTATTTTATTGAGATTTGAATATAAATTGAGGTAAGCCAAGCAATCAGAGTAGCTTGTGAGGATTTCATTTGGTATAATTACAAAATTAATAAATAAAATTTGGAAGGATTAGTTAACAATCTATTCCAGTTTTATTTTCAGATTGTGCCCTCCTGATTTCTTTCTGTTACCCTTCAGTATTAACCAGTGGCTTGACTACCAAGGTAAATACATGGCTTCCTGACCACCAGAGCTTCAACATGCCAGTGGCTTTCCCTCCTAATTCTAACAAAACTTCTGACAGTTAGGAAATCAGGTCAGATCTCAAAGACAACAGAGGATAACCACTTGCGGCTCCAATATCCACTGTGCTCACTCACTGTTACTACAAAGCACCAGCATTAACTTCATACACTAACCAAAAAAAGTGAAATATTAAAATCCAGAAAAATGAAGAGTCAGCAA